GATCATAAGTGGCGGCCTTCTTGAATTTCAAAATGGCCGACAATTTTCCAGCACAAACTGCTAGCTTTGGGGAAGCGAATATGGCAATTATTCTTTGCAAAACCCAAGTTTTCATTGCAAACCTATCAACAAATTAACCTGTCTAATGGTGATATTCCAAGCGGAAACATAGGCATACCCTCTTTGAACCACGAAGAAAGTGATAGAGCAATTAAAGAGAAAACAACTAAAAGGGAAAGACATCCTTAGCAATACCAAAGAGAATACAATGGACGGTCATGATTCCGTATGTCAGGGATCTATCTGAAAAGACCAGATTGGCAATGAGCAAACACAACATAATTACGTTATTCAGACCTCAACAAAGTTGAGAAAGCAACTAGTGCATTTGAAAAAGAAGATTCCAACAAACAACACCCACTGGAGTACCAGTTAAAATATGCTTATTGTGACCAAGTATATACAGTATAAGTGAAAACCGATAGAAAGTATAACATTCGTTTAGGTAAACATAAAAAATGAGGTTGAAGAAAATATAAATAAAGAAGTACAAATTGGATCCAAAAGGGGTTCTTCCTCAGGTAAGGAGAAATGTACAAATCACCAATCACTAGACATATGGTCGCACGCAAACACATTCCATTATTACAAGTTCTTGGGACAACTGATTCTGGGAGTAGAATAAAAGAATCAATATGGTTGAGGAAGAAAGACTATAATATTAACAAAAAAGGGGATCAATTGATTCGACACACTCGCACCCAGAAACCCAAGGTTTGCCGACACTGTGCCACCAGTCGGCAAGCTGGTGATAGATATGCGGATTTGAACACTTCAGCACTAGAGAAAATGGTAGGGGCGCTGTTGAAACTGTCATTCGCAATATTACTTCGCCACCCTAAACAATATAAAGTGCAAAAGACCTGAACATTCTCGAGCACGAATAAATATCTCTTGAAATAATTTTGAAATATCACATCTTCTTGTCAGCGGATGACAGAAAACTATATCATTTGTTGTTGTATCAACATATATTGCTCTGATGATTGAAGAAAGCTTCTGAAACAATATTTGGTGCCTCTCCCTTTTAATTATCTACGGTAACTCGTATGTATATCTGGAATAATACTTTAACAATGGTTGATATTGCAAAAATATTTGACATGAATCTAAAATAAAGTTGGTTTTTTTTTTGTTTTTTTTTTTTAATTGCCAGGCATTTTGCCATCCATATGCTTCATGTGAATATCACCATTGGACTGATTAATAGATTTGTCGGCCATTTTGATATTCAAGATGGCCGCTATTAATGATGTGAGAATATCGCCATT